CCGTTCTGTGTCTGGTTCTGTAGGCTCTCCGTGCTGTGTCTGGTTCTCTAAGCTCTCTGTGCTGTGTCTGGTTCTGTAGGCTCTCCGTGCTGTGTCTTGTTCTCTAAGCTCTCTGTGCTGTGTCTGGTTCTGTAGGCTCTCCGTGCTGTGTCTTGTTCTCTAACCTCTCTGTGCTGTGTCTGATTGTTCTCTCCGTAGGCTCTCCGTTTGTGCTGTGTCTGGTTCTGTAGGCTCTCTGTGCTGTGTCTGGTTTTGTAGGCTCTCTGTGCTGTGTCTGGTTCTGTAGGCTCTCTGTGCTGTGTCTGGTTCTGTAGGCTCTCCATGCTGTGTCTTGTTCTCTAACCTCTCTGTGCTGTATGTCTGTGTCTGTAGGCTCTCCGTTCTGTGTCTTGTTCTGTAGGCTCTCTGTGCTGTGTCTGGTTCTGTAAGCTCTCTGTGCTGTGTCTGGTTCTGTAGGCTCTCTGTGCTGTGTCTTGTTCTGTAGGCTCTCTGTGCTGTGTCTTGTTCTCTAACCTCTCTGTGCTGTGTCTGGTTCTGTAGGCTCTCTGTGCTGTGTCTTGTTCTCTAACCTCTCTGTGCTGTGTCTGGTTCTGTAGGCTCTCTGTGCTGTGTCTTGTTCTCTAACCTCTCTGTGCTGTGTCTGGTTCTGTAGGCTCTCTGTGCGTGCTGTGTCTGGTTCTGTAGTTCTCTAAGCTCTCTGTGCTGTGTCTGGTTCTGTAGGCTCTCTCTCGTGCTGTTTCTAACCTTCTGTGCTGTGTCTCTCTCTCCGTGCTGTGTCTGGTTCTCTAGGCTCTCTGTGCTGTGTCTGGTTCTGTAGGCTCTCTGTGCTGTGTCTTGTTCTGTAACCTCTCTGTGCTGTGTCTGGTTCTGTAGGCTCTCCGTGCTGTGTCTGGTTCTCTAAGCTCTCCGTTCTGTGTCTGGTTCTTTAGGCTCTCTGTGCTGTGTCTGGTTCAGTAGGCTCTCCGTCTGTGCTGTGTTCTGTAGGCTCTCTGTGCTGTGTATGGTTCTGTAGGCTCTCTGTGCTGTGTCTGGTTCCATAGGTTATTGGCATTATTATAAAACGTACATTTTTTCACATTAGGAAGTAGCTGTGAAATCAGCAGACCCTTTCTAAAATACTATGAAACCCTATCGTACGACAGGATGAGCCTTCTCCAAAGTCATCAGCGGTCAAAAAGAGCTACAAATGAAGAAGAAAAAACAATAACCCTGGACCTTGCCGCCTATAATAGGTACTGATCTTAAACACCGGGGAGCTGAGTCACTGAGGCAGGCCACACATGCATGGATTATTTATTTATTTGATCTGGTTGACATCTATGTTGAGGTCCGGGTCTCCTCTTTCTTATGTGTTTTTGTTTCATTTCAGCTCATTTGTACATTTAGTGCAGCATTTTGCTCTTTTAGTGTGAATGGGTCCATCAGCGCACTCTTCTGAAAGCTGAACATTTGGCTGGATCAGACTATTGGATTGAAACGCGTCAGCACATCAGTAGACCAGCAAGGTGGTGTAATCTGATTGTAAAATCTCCATTAGATTGATCAACAATTATTCAGTACATGAGATTGCCTGATTGGATATAAATGAAATAAACAGATTTCAGGTATACATTTCTGGTACATACTGTAGTTGTGTGGAACATGTTTGGATAGTTTTAGGAATGTTTCCATTGGATTCTGACCATTTTTGTTTCCAAATTATGTGGGAAATGAGGGGGCACTCAGAGGCGCAGCTTGAAGCTTGTGGACCCGATGTGAAAGTTGACCCGGGCCCCAGGGGTGTATTTACCACAAGGCAAACAAGGCAGTTGCCTAGGGCGGCATTTTTCGAGGGGGGGGGCAGCACTTCCCCCTGGAAGAAGGGACACTTGTGTCATGGGGACCAGCTGCGGACTGCTTGATGTGTATGCAGAGCCCGACTCTCAATCCCAGGGATGTCTGGAGCTGTGAAGGTGAGTGACTTTCTCTTCAAGGGGGGGATGTGTGTTAGTGGAAGGATCTTTCGGGGGGGGGGCAGGGGTGTTGTTGGTCAATGTCAGGCTCTCCCTGCGGGGGGGGGGGGGGGGCAATTTTTGTGTCTTGCCTAGGGCAGCAGAAAACCTAAATACACCACTGCAGGACCCCCCCACTCCCACCTAAAGCTTCCACCGCACGCCAAAATACTGCAAGTGGCTGAAGAGGATTTTTCAGATCTTTATTTCCATACTGACGGTAATTCAAGTGATTTTGGAGAAACTGTCCGCATTTTAGCATACCTCTACAAATCTTTTGGATACCATGGATCAGAGACAGTCAACCTTTGAGAAGTGAAGATCTACCTGAACCTGAAAGAGATCAAAGATTATCGTGGTTTGGCGCTGTTTTTAAAAAAAAAGAAATGACCTAACAAGGCCTAACTAAATAGTACGGAAAACGTAGATAAATATGATGTCATTGTAAAGATATAAACAGCCTACCTTAAAGTGGAGCTCCACCCAAAAGCTCTGCTTTAAGTCTTTGTCCCCCGCTCCCCATTAAGGATTGGCACCTTTGGGGAGCGGGTACCCGAATTTGATCGCCTGAGGCGATCGGAAGCAGAAGTTGTCCCCCTCCCTCCCTTCCCGTAGTCTTTTGGGACACATCACAGGTCCCAGAAGACTACGGGAGCATTCACAAAGTGCAGCGCTTCTCACGCATGCGTAGAGGGCACCCGGCTGTGAAGCCACAAGCTGTCACAGGGGGGTGCCCACACTGAAGATTCTGGCATCGGGGGAGAGAAGACGGCCGGTGAAACCAGCCGTGGTGAGGACACCGCTGGACCGAGGGACAGGTAAGTGACTGTATTTTAGAAGTCAGCAGCTACAGTTTTTGTAGCTGCTGATTTTTATTTATTTTTTTTCAGCTGGAACTTCGCTTTAAGAAAGGACAGTGTCAGTCATTAGTGCAGTAGATAGTGTCAGTAGGGCAGTGGATAACGTGTGGATGGTGTCACTAGAGTAGTGAACGTTTCAGTAGGGCAGTGAATGATTCAGTAGGGCAGTGGAGGGTCAGTGGATGATATCAGTAGGGCAGTGGATGTGTCAGTAGGGTGGATGTGTGGATGTATCAGTCAGTGGATGTGTCAGGGCAGTGGATGATATCAGTAGGGCAGTGGATGTGTCAGTAGGGCAGTGGATGATGTAGGGCAGTGTCAGTAGGGCAGTGGATGTGTCAGTAGGGCAGTGGATGATATCAGTAGGGCAGTGGATGATATCAGTAGGGCAGTGGATGTGTCAGTAGGGCAGTGGATGTGTCAGTAGGGCAGTGGATGATCTCAAATGAGCAATGGATAATGCCACTAGGGAAGTGGATGTATCTTTAGAGCCATGGATGCATCAACAGAGCAGTGGATATCACTAGTAGAGCAGTGGATGTGTCAGTAGGGCCATGGATGCATCGACAGAGCAGTGGATAATGCCAGTAGGGGAGTGGATGATGCCAGTAGAGCAGTGGATAACGCCAGTAGGGCAGTGGATGATGTCAGTAGGGCAGTGGATGTGTCAGTAGGGCAGTAGGGCAGTGGATGACGTCAGTAGGGGCAGTGGATGACGTCAGTAGGGCAGTGGATGATGTCAGTAGAGCAGTGGATAATGTCAGTAGGGCAGTGGATGATCCCAGTAGAGCAGTGGATGACGTCAGTAGGGCAGTGGATGATGTCAGTAGGGCAGTGGGATGATCCCAGTAGAGCAGTGGATGACGTCAGTAGGGCAGTGGATGATAACGCCAGTAGTAGGGGGCAGTGGATGATCTCAGTAGAACAGTGGATAATGGCAGCACAATTTTTTTAGCAGCCCTGTTGGGGGCTTTGGTGAAATATCAGGAGTCTAAATAAACCTCTTATGTCACACTTTTGAGGAAAACCTAAAGCAAAAACCAAAACCATTCACAAACCAAAAGCATAGTAAAAACAGTTTACTATGCTTCAGCTTTGAATAGACTCAGGATCGATTGGTTCTGATCACTCTCTGTGTTCATTCAGGAAAGGAAGGGGCTGGTAAATATATAATTAAATGACAATATATCCTGTACAGCAATGGTTTATGCTATATACACTATATTTCCAAAAGTATTGGGCCGCCGGCACACATGACCTTTAATGGCCCCTCCCAGTCTTAGTCCATAGGGTTCAATATTGAGTTGGCCCCGCCCTTTGCAGCTATAACAGCTTCAAATCTTCTGGGAAGGCCGTCCACAAGGTTTAGGAGGGTGTCTATGGGAAGGTTGGACCATTCTTCCAGAAGCACATTTGTCAGGTCAGGCACTGATGTCGGGGGAGGAGGCCTGGCTCGCACTCTCCACTCTAATTCATCCCAAAGGTGTTCTATGGGGTTGAGGTCAGGACTCTGTGCAGGCCAGTCAAGTTCCTCCACCCCAAACTGGCCCCTCCATGTCTTTATGGACCTTGCTTTGTGCACTGGTGCGCAGTCGGTTGGAACAGGAAGGAACACTTTCTACAAAGTTGGGAGCATGAAATTGTCCAAAATGTCTTGGTATGCTGATGTCTTAAGAGTTCCATTCACTGGAACTAGGGGGTCAAGCCCAACCCCTGAAAAACAACCCCACACCGTAGTCCCCCCTCCACCAAACCTTACACTTGGCACAATGAAGTCAGGCAAGTACTGTTCTCCTGGCAACCGCCAAACCCAGACACGTCCAGTCCATTGGATTGCCAGACAGAAAAGCGTGATTGGTCACTCCAGAGAACACGTCTCCACTGCTCTAGAGTCCAGTGGCGGCGTGCTTTACACCACAGCAACCGACACTTTGCATTGTACTTGGTGATGGAAGGCTTGGTTGCAGCTGCTCGGCCATGGAAAAACCCATTCCATGAAGCTCTCTATGCACTGTTGTTGGGCTCATCTGCAGGTCACACCAAGTTTGGAGGTCTTTATTGACTCTGCAGACAGTTGGCGACTTCTGCGCACTGTGCGCTTCAGCATGCGCTGACCCCGCCCTGTCATGTGACGCGGCCTACCACTTGGTGGCTGAGTGGCTGTTGTTCCCAGTTGCTTCCACTTTGTTATAATCCCACTAACAGTTGAGCGTGGAATATTTAGTAGCCAGGAAATGTCACAGATGGACTTATTGCCCAGGTGGCCACCTATCACGGGACCACGCTTGGAGTCACTGAGCTCCTGAGAGCGACCCATTCTTTCACCAATGTTTGTAGAAGCCGTCTGCATGCCCAGGGGCTTGATTGTATACACCTGTGTCCATGGAGGGGATTGGAACACCTGAATCACATGATATGGAGGGGATTGGAACACCTGAATCACATGATTGGAAGGGGATTGGAACACCTGAATCACATGATTGGGAGGGGATTGGAACACCCTGAATCACATGATATGGAGGGGATTGGAACACCTGAATCACATGTATGGAGGGGATTGGAACACCTGAATCACATGATTGGGAAGGGATTGGAACACCTGAATCCAATGGAGGGCGGGCCCAATACCTTTGGCAATATTATTATATATATATGTATGTTTTATTTTTTTTTTTGCAATATTTTTTTCCATGAAAGAGGAGTTAGGTTTTAAAACGATTTGTTGCATATATACAGAGAGAGTTCTCAGGAATAAACAAGCATATGCGTTTTTCTACTTCCCTCCAGCAAGCCGGGAATATTGAATATGAACTTTGCATCTCTGTATTTCTTTCCAGAAAATTTGCACTGATGTTAAGAAGGGATAGCGGCATTTTTGCAGATGATTTTTCCGTCATGTCACATGATCAGCCGCTACCGGTGGATATCTCTTTTGTCTACAAGGGCAGTCTTAAAGGTAAGGAACAGCCAGCAAGTCCACAATCCAATCACTGGTCTACACTGGAGTCCAAGCTTTGTCATCCATAATGCTAACTAAAGGCAACACCAGGGGCGGACTGACCATTTGGAAACTCGGGCACTGCCCGAGGGCCCGGGGTCAGTAGGGGGCCCCGTGAGATGCCCCTGGTACCTTTTTCATGGGCTTTTTTGAGTTTGGGCAAGGACACAGGGGCCCCATGATCCCCTATTGCCCGGGGGCCCCATGAATTGTCACTCTGCCCCTGGGCAACACTTTAGTTTTAATTTTGGATGGAGAAAGAGAAGGTTACAACCCTTGTCAGGTTTTTTTTTAAACCAACTATACGTGAATACATTATAAAATGTATTTTTTAAATACAAGCAGTGTAACTATCCGAATGTGACCTGCTATTAACAGTCCCGAGGAGATGTTATCATGCTGATAGGAGGAGAGAGCAGAGGGACAGAGAAATGAGCTCATCACTGTGCTGCTTCTCCTTTCATTGGCCATTCACAGGCTGGGGGCGGGTTCAGGATGACCTGGGCTCAGAAGGAGGTTGATTGAACGATGCTGGACATATGACTGAGGACATCTAGTGGTGGATAAAAGAACTGCAGGGGAAATCATTGCATTGAAAGTGAATATTGCAGCAAAAGCTGGTTCCTGTATTTTAGCTTTTAACCAGTTCAGCTCTTTGTACATCCAAAGAGTGAACCTTTAATCACAAGCTGATGGCAGCCATTTACTTTTTTGTTCATCCGGCTACCGGCTTGAAATTGAATGTGACGCAGCAGCTCCAATCACTTTCACAGAGCCGGCAGCGCAGTCGCCTCCCCCTCCCACTGGCACCCCCCTTCCTCCCCCTCTTCCCGTGGTTCCCGGGATCTCTGCTCTCACCGGAACCCCGGAACACAACTGCCGGATAGGGGAGGGAGAGCGCTGGGAGACCGAGGCAAATTCATACCTCAATCTCACACGTGATGTCACTTCTGGTTTCAGATTCACCCTGTCCTGGCCAGTACAGCCAGGGGACACCTCTAACAAAGCCGATCTGTGATTGGTTAGATGGTGTGAAGAACAGGAAAAATATTGGGGTCTTTTAGACCCCTAATGTCGCCATAAAGAGTACCTGTCACCTGCCCAGTGCTATCACATGTGGGTTTATAAGGTAAAAATAATTTTTAAAAAAATTTAAATTATAATAAAATAAATTAAAATATTGAGAAAATTCCCCTCCCCCGTTGTGCCACACACCTGCGCAAATACAAGCCCAGTGTGTGCACGCGTATGTAAACTGCGGTCGTACCACACGTGCGACATTGCCGCGAACGTCAGAGTGAGAACAATCGTTCTAGCACAAGAGCTCCTGGTTAACTCTAAACTGATGAGCTGCAAATGCTATTAAAGCGTCACTTATGGTGATTTTCGGGCTCCATAGTTTTTGGCGATATCATGGGCGCACCATATTTTGAGACATGGAGTGTATGGTATCTACTTACTCGATGCAACCTCCTCTTTTATATTTTAATCGAAAATGGGTATTCTTTTGTGTGTGTTTTTGCACTAAAACTCATTTTCTGATATTTTTTTCCTGAAAATTTGCGATAAATAAATAAGTAGCGCAAATATCGTGTGACATAAAAATTTGTGAATATCACCTTTTTTATTCTACAGGTCCTCTGCTTTCAGAAAAAAAAAAAAAAAAAAAAAAAAAAAATATATATATATATATATATATATATATATAAAATGTTTCTGGGGGTTAAAGTAATTTTATTGGCAACATTTTAGATTTTTACATGTATGCGAAAAATAAAAACAATGGTTCTGCAGCCAAACTGGCTAATGGGCCGTTCATTGTTATCTTTTTTTTTTTTCTGCTTAGAATTTAAATTCATAATCTTACAAACAAAATAAGAGCACTACATGATTTTTAGGATGTTATTTGCTTTTATACATGTCATATAACCAGGGCTTTTTTTCTCAGCGAATAGGTGCAGGTACTCCCCCATTCCGAGTCACCCTTTGTCTCTGCCCCCTACCTAGTATTGCCCCTTTTAGAGAATACAGAACCAAGTATCATATTGTGGTGCTATGAAACTTTGTATGGAATTTACTGATAACAAAAAAGCTGTCAAATAGATCTCCTGCTGCCAGCAACAGTAGATCCCCCCAGCAACAATAGATCCACAACAGCAACAATAGATCCACACCACCAACAATAGACCCCCCACCATCAATAATAGATCTCCCAGCAGCCAACATCGATAGACCCTCCAACAGCCAGCAACAACAGACCCCTCAGCAATAATAGATTCCCTACCGGCAACTATAACCACCCCCCAGGGGTGTATTTACCACAAAGCAAACAAGGCACTTGCCTAGGGTGGCATTTTTCAGGGGGGCAGCACCTTCCCCCAGAAGTAAGGATGGAAGAAGGGACACGCGCACCATGGGAACCAGGTGGGATCTAAGAGAGGCTGCGGGGGGCTTGATGGTGTATGTAGAGCCTGGCTCTCATTCCCGGGGATGTCCGGAGCTGTGAAGATGGGTGTATTTCACTCTATCGCCAGGGAGGGGGGGGGGGGAATAATGGAAGGCTCTCAAAGGTGGGGGGCATGGGTGTTGTTGGTCAATGTCAGGCTCTCTCTGGGGGAGGGGGGTGGTGTTGGTAGGTGTCCATGGGGGGAGACGATTTTTGTGTTGCCTGGGGCAGCACAAAACCTAAATACACCGCTGTCACCCCCCATAACAATAAATCCCCACCAACAGCAATAGACCCTCCAGCAGGTAGAATCAATAGACCCTCCAGCACAACCCAGGACCCCTTGACACTAGATACATTTAATTCCCCCGCATTCCTGCTGAAAAAAAGTCCTGCATGTAACACCGGTGTTCGATTTATGTCACTTAGGTGAGAACGACTCCTTGTGTCACGGTTCCATCATCAATGGATATTTCAGTGGATCCATCCATACAAGGAATGGGACTTTTTATGTTGAATATGAAGAAAACCACAATGGCTCAATAGATTCCTATATTTATCATGAGTCAGATATTGGTAAGTAATTTTAAAGTGGACCTATCAGCGACCTTAAAGTATATGTGAAGGTTTTTAATGCTGTCTGTGTCCCTGCTTGGGGCAGGAATGTCACCAGGGCCAGATCTAGGGGGGTGCTTGGGTGGGCTGTGCTGCCCCAGATTTGGTTTGTGTCCCCCCGGGTCTCTGAGAGTGTATCCACTGATCCATGAGCCAGTCTGATGCAGACAGTTGATGTAAGGAGGCACTCTGATGAGGACAATCCATGCAAGGGGGCATTCTGATGGGGACATCTGATATAAGGGGCATTCTGATGGGGACACCTGATATAAGGGGCATTCTGATGGGGATACCTGATATAAGGGGCATTCTGATGGGGACATCTGATATAAGGGGCATTCTGATGGGGACACCTGATATAAGGGGCATTCTGATGGGGACATCTGATATAAGGGGCATTCTGATGGGGACATCTGATATAAGGGGCATTCTGATGGGGACATCTGATATAAGGGGCATTCTGATGGGGACACCTGATATAAGGGGCATTCTGATGGGGATACCTGATATAAGGGGCATTCTGATGGGGACACCTGATATAAGGGGCATTCTGATGGGGACATCTGATATAAGGGGCATTCTGATGGGGACATCTGATATAAGGGGCATTCTGATGGGGACATCTGATATAAGGGGCATTCTGATGGGGACATCTGATATAAGGGGCATTCTGATGGGGACACCTGATATAAGGGGCATTCTGATGGGGATACCTGATATAAGGGGCATTCTGATGGGGACATCTGATATAAGGGGCATTCTGATGGGGACACCTGATATAAGGGGCATTCTGATGGGGATACCTGATATAAGGGGCATTCTGATGGGGACATCTGATATAAGGGGCATTCTGATGGGGACATCTGATATAAGGGGCATTCTGATGGGGATACCTGATCAAATGTAAGGGGATACTCTGATGGGGAAGATGGATGTAAGGGGCCGCTCTGATGGAAACCTCATGTAAAAGGACACTCTGATGAGTAGTCATGATGTACAGTAAACGAGGGACTCGGACAGGGACATCTGATATAAGGGGCATTCTGATGGGGATACCTGATATAAGGGGCATTCTGATGGGGACATCTGATATAAGGGGCATTCTGATGGGGACACCTGATATAAGGGGCATTCTGATGGGGACATCTGATATAAGGGGCATTCTGATGGGGACATCTGATATAAGGGGCATTCTGATGGGGACACCTGATATAAGGGGCATTCTGATGGGGATACCTGATATAAGGGGCATTCTGATGGGGACATCTGATATAAGGGGCATTCTGATGGGGACATCTGATATAAGGGGCATTCTGATGGGGATACCTGATCAAATGTAAGGGGATACTCTGATGGGGAAGATGGATGTAAGGGGCCGCTCTGATGGAAACCTCATGTAAAAGGACACTCTGATGAGTAGTCATGATGTACAGTAAACGAGGGACTCGGACAGGGACATCTGATATAAGGGG